GAGTTTAGAGAGGTAGGGAGGGAAGGAAATCATAGTGGACCTCGGCACTCTGCCACAATTAATTTTCCCACCCTGGAATCTCCACTCACAGGCAAAGAATGCTTCGATTGTGTTCCATACAGCTGTGCTTAGCAGCAGCAGGAAAGTTTCACACAGAAAGATGTAGGGATAGAAGTTGGCTGAGCTAGCTGTTCCTGGGATGAAATCTGAAAAAAAAAAATGAAGGGACGGATCCTCAGAGGTGGTTAAGTGCTTTTCTAGGGTGAAGTAAATGCAATAAAGAAACATCTGCCAACTGAGGAACAAGATCTTGCAAGTTTGGATTGATCTTCTACAGAGCTTCACCTTTACAATTGTTCCGTGGAAAACAAGTAGCATCTCAATTTGGGGTTCTTTATTTTATTTTTCTATTCATTTATAACCTTTCCTTCTTTCAGTAGTGATCCACACCTGTCCTTCCATTTAATTCCATGAAGGAATTAAGAAACAAGGGGATTACCCTTAAAGCCACAGGTAACTTTGTCAAGCCCAATAAAACATTGAATTGGTGCATGGAGAGGGCTGGACTTAAATGGTAGTGAAGTCCTTGTCTACTCCAAACAGCCTGGAAAAGGAAGCTTCATTTGTTGCTGACTGCCAAGATTCCTCTCATTGGCATGCATGGCAGCTAGTAACAAGTTAAAGCATTTGTGCCAGAATTGTAATTTGGTTTTGTTATTTATTTTCTGTTGGACAGCACGGCATTAGCTGGGAAAATTCCAGCCAAGGAATTCAACAAAGGAAAAAGACACCCACCTGAAATCAGCAATTTTACTGCATTGGAAGCTCTATGTATCACCTTATGACTGGTCCCTGTTTTTCTTTCTTGATTAATCTAATAAATGTTTTCTTGAAATAATAAACTATCAAATGAATATTTTTATGCAGAAAATGGGGGCTGGAATCCAGTTACATTGTTGTTCCAGAAGTTAAAACCATGAGGGAGATTATACTATAATATGTTGTAGATTATTGTGAAAGTCATCAAACCATCTGGATCTTATGGTGTTGATGGCTTTAGTAAACGACGGAAAGTGTGAAGACACTATTCTAAGTTTGTGCGATCATGATTGTTTGTACTAGTGTTTTGAGCTTGTCCTTTTTTCTTGAACTACTGATAAAAGTTGTTAGTATATGATATGCATCAAATTTTTATGTTTTTCATGACCTACTTCCAGCATTTTTCCTCTTCAAATATATGATTTTATGTCTTTGGAAGAATGGAATTGTATTTTGTAGATTATAGGAGAAATAACACAAAAATCGGAGCAAAAATGAGAGATTGGAAAAATCAGCGTTGGCGTAACCGCACCTGAATCAGGAGTGGCCACGCCACTTGAATAGCGTGGTCACGCCAAAATCAGGCGTGGTCACGCAAAAATCGAGTGTGGTTACACCCAAATACCAAAGGAGATGCATGCTTTGGAGCACCCAATGTAGCCACGTCAAAACCTGGCATGACCACGCCACCCAACCAAAGCTTGGGATGTAATTACGCCATAGCACGAGTGTGGTCATGTCGAGGTGTATTTTCTATTTTGGAAAATTTTTAATGCAAGATTCTGACGAATTTAAGAAGATTTTTTATTTCATTCTATAAAATCATTATAATTAGAAGATTGAGAGAGCTTTTTGGAGAGGAAATTGTAGAAGAGGCTAGGGTTTAGAGAGAGAATTCCTTTCTTCTTCCTAATTTTCTTTTGTCTGTATTTTCTGAAAGAGTTTGAGAGAAATTGGAAGCTATTTTTGTAAGAGAGGAGATCAAAAGACTGTAAGTACTTTTTATTACAATAAAAATATTTCTTGCAGATTTTATTACCATGAAATCTTCTTTGTTTTTCTCTTGAGCCATGAGTAGCTAAAAATTTTTCGTGTATCTGTGATTCTTGGGATGATTTTCTTGGTTTGATTTTTATTTTGGATTTCTCATATCATTTTCCGTGTTTTGAATTGTTAAGAGTTGTTGGTTAATCTTTTGGCATTCGTTTACTCCTAACCTAGCAAGTCATGATGTTAAAATCCATCGTGATCTACAACTTTGACAAAAACATAGTGGAACGATTAGATTAACCACGAGTTTGAATAAAACAAGAATATTTTATTATAGATCTTGCAACCAATTATAGGGGATCATAATTTACGGGGGATGCCATAAAGATAATCAGAAGCTATTTTTGTGGAATTCTAAATCTTCTTGGAACGTAGGCATTGGCTTATAAAGAACTAAGTATCCATGGTTGATAACCACCACGAAGGAAAAATTTATAAGAAAATCAAGCCAATTGTCATGCTTAAATCATAGAGGCACGATCCTTGTTACTATTGGAAAAAAACCAACAGAGTTTGATCCACATTTTCTTCTATTTTGCTTTCTTCGAAATCTATTAGACTTAGAATATTCTTCCCTTGCTTTCTGAATTCGCCAAACTAGGTTGGAATAATTAGTAAACTAGAGCTTTTGCCTTTTCAAAATGGTTTCTTAACGAGCTTTCCTATGGGTTACATGTGCGGTACTCTTCAACCGCATTATTAATTGACACGTATACTTGCATTGTGCGGCCAACTTATTTATCGGTAAGTTTTTGTGCGTCAGTATACATTGTTAGTTGAACCTCGGTGCATATTGTAATAAAATTGTATTATTTGTGTCCTTCATTCCTTTGGTGTCAAAACATAAAAGAGTGAAACAATACAAGACTCACATAAAAAATAATTTTAAATTATTTTAAGATATTCCATCACTTTGAATTATTTTAAAAATTATTTGAGTTACACTATATTTGATTATTCGGATTATCTATATTTTAAACTATATTTAATATGATTTTAGGATTTATTTAGCTTTAAGTTTTATAACTAATTTGGATTTATCTTGAAAATTTCAATTAATAGGTGGTTGATTGATGTTATCCAAATTATTATTGAATTAAAGATTATCTCCTCTCTCACCCTCCCTCGTAAATGGCAGTACTCTCTCTCATCCCTTACTCATAAACAATAGCACTCTCTTGCCCCTAACAAATTTTTTAGTTATTTCCCGCCTCATGATTGTTTGCTCTCTCTCTCTTCTCCCTACAAGGTTTCTACAACTGCCTCTCTCTCTACTCTCCTTAAATACCAAGAATCCAAATACTTCTATCTCCCCATGAAACTCTTCAATTGCATGCTTCTGAACTCTTCCATATACGTTCCTCTCTACTAGAAGTTTACATTGACAGCCTCCATATTCTAATGTCTCAAAATAATTTAAGCAAGATTTTGCTATGTTGAAAAATTTTAAAACTTATATCAATTTAATTGTCTAGAACATCGTTAGTTTAAATTAAATAATAGGATATTAAGACTTATTTAAATTTAGCATTGAATTTAATTTGAATTCACCTTTTATATCTATTACTATAATGGATGTAATTTGGATTATTATTGAATTAAGAATGAAATTAATTGACTCTCACTTGTATTTTTTTTTTCTCTATCATACATCCTAAATTGAAATTACACGCTCCAATCATAACTTTTGAATTCACTCTTTCTTCAAAATATTTGGATCAAGCTCTCTTTCCTGTGGTTTTTCCACACCTTCCTCTATCGTTGCCATAATAGTTAAATTGTTGATAATTCTCTCTTGTCGTACTTTATCTCTCCGATTACAGGCATTCAAGGTTTTCATACATGTGCCTCTTTCTCAACAATTGCATCATAAAATTTGAAGAAAATAAAAAAATCAAATGCCTATCATCAAACTGGTAGGATGTTCCTCTTCTTTCTAGATTAAAAAGCAAAAAGGGTAACTTTATTATTATACCTTCATCAACAAGAAAGCACTAATAGAATTAGAGACCATGTAAATAGATAAGCTTGAGCAAGGCACAAGCTAACTGGTTTTTAGAAAGCATGCATAACACCTCAAGTCATCTTATTTTCTCTTCACAAGAGTTCTTGGTAAACAATTCTATGGATTTCAGAATCATAAGTGCATCTAAGTAAAACTTGTACAATTAGAAAGGCCTGGTCTAATCTAACCATTTAGAATTTTTGACATTTAGCATTCGTTAAAAAGCCACCACTACATTTGCTGGAAGCTTAAAAATGGGTTTGAGTACCTCTTCCACAACAAGAAATGTGAATCATGCCCCTATGCCACTCATGACACAGGAAGTAGTTGCAATCAGAGTAGCTATGGGTTTCAACATCAATGTTATAATCCAACTCACACTTTCTTTGTTCGAGCATCGAGATTTATTTAGAGTATTATGCTCCAATTATCTCTTGTTGTCGAGGAACACTGTCTCCCATCATGTCTTGTTTTACATTCCCTTAGTCTAAGGAGGATCCCACAATATACTATCTCCTCCTATAGTCTCCTATCACTAAGCTAACCAATTGCCTATACTTATACTCTTATTACTCTCAGCAGTTTTAAATGCATGAGAATTGACCCTAAAAAAAAGAGAATGAAAAGCACACTATTTGGTAGTTGAGATATGCATAACATCATTGTGAAAATTTTGGGCAATAGTAAACGTGGAGTATTACTTCTCGTGGCACAATCATCAAGAAATTATGTAGGTGTTTTTATTGCATTTAAAGAAACTCCACAGCCTTTAATTGTTTCTTTCACCCCACCCAAATTTTCATCTTCCTATTTAATTAGACCTGCTTGAAGTTGCTCTTTCATAAATGGAAATGGATATATAAGAAAGTGCTTCCGATCCATGGCTCGTACTTAGTTCTCTATTCAAGCTGATACTAATTGTTAATAATTAAGGAATAAGAGAGTCAGAAATTTAACAAGAACATCATTGTAAAGAACTAGCCCAGAATCAGATCATTATGCATAAAGAAGATCAAGGCCTTACAACAACAGAAAGGCTTTATCCCAGTAAGTGGGGTTGGCTACCAAAAAGATCAAGGCCCAAAACTAAAAATTTTAAAAAGGGAAAGAATCTCTAATTTCTCACCTTCAACCCAGGTACATAATCTCCGCGCTTGTAATAGGCGGGACTCTTCGCTGATCTCCATTCTGCCGTACCCATGCCATCTAAAAAGCAATAAAAGATGAAATTACTAGAAAGACAATCTATTGAAAAGTTGAGCTTGAGTAGAACAAGGAGAAAACTCACAGTGATTGTTCTCGCAAACCAAAATCACTGGTAAATCCCACAACGCTGACATGTTGAGAGCTTCAAAAAGTTGCCCCTGGTTGGCCGCTCCGTCTCCATACATCGTGAATGTTACAGTCTCATCTTTACAATATTTCTGTGCAAAAGCAATCCCACATCCAAGCGGGATCTGCGCACCAACGATTCCATGTCCACCGTAAAAGTGAGTCTCCTTCCTGTAGAAGTGCATGGATCCACCCTTGCCCTTGGAGCAACCTGAACGACGGCCCATGAGCTCGGCAAAGGCTTCCAAAAGCGTGCCACCGCGGCCTAGAAAGATGCAGTGATCACGGTAAGCAGTTATAATAGCGTCTTTCTTGGTGATGGCGGCCTCCATGCCGATGGAGACCGCCTCCTGGCCATCGTAGAGGTGGCAGAAACCGCGGATGAGCTTCGCCTTGTATAGCGAATCGGCAGCGATCTCCATCCGGCGCATCAATGACATGTCGCGGAAGAAGGTGAGGAGCTCCTTCGGGGTGGTCTCAACGGTGCGGGACGGGGGTTCGATCATGTGGCCGGTAAAGGGGACGGATGTCTCGATCGTGAGGACCGTCTGATCATCGCCGGAGAAAGAGGAGAAGGGCCGGGAGACGATTTGGCGTAGCGGGAGAATGGACCGCGACGAGAGGCGGCGAAGGGCGGCCATGACTTCGGATCTTCGGCTGCGGAGCGGGGTTCAGATGGCAGAGAGGCAAGGGCCGAATTGTGCTCCTATATATATTTCTTAAACAGGACGCAACGCAGTCAACTTTTGGTGTGGAAAGCCTGCCATGAATATTGTGAATTTGTTTGATTTTTTTTTCCTACCTAATATTTTTTATAATTAAGATATATATATAAACTTAGATGAGTAGTATTTCGAGCTAAAACGGCCGGACACATCTTAGTTCGTGCTCGACTAGTTAATTTATTGAATAAAATTAACAAACCGAACACGAGCTTCTTAAAGAGTCAAACACGAGCTGTTCGCGAACAACGAACCGTGTTGATAAAATTGCCCTAATATTTTTTTAATAAAACACAATCAAACTTATTATTAATAAACTTGGAATATTAATTATTTTTTACAACCACATTAATGATTTAGCCAAAAATGTTACATCTTGCTAAATTGGGTAAGCTTTTGCAACTTGTTGAATTGAGCAGGTTTGCTTTTGCATTTTAAGAGTCCTTCTAAACTTCTAAATTCTAAGTTTCCGATGTGGGATTATGTTTTTAACCTGGAAAAGCGAACTAGGGACATTTACATGCACACCAGATAATTCTAATGGTATTTACATATCTATCACCTAAAAGTTAAATGCAGGGGCGGGGCATGGATGCTGGGTAGGGGCATGTACATACATACATGCCACCCAATTTTTATGTATTTACATATCTAATACGTAGGAGCATGTACATACATACCACCCAATTGTTATGTATTTATTATATCCAAAACCGAAATGCATAAAAGGGGTAGAGCAGCATTTGGAAAAATTCTAAGAGAACTTACATGCATGCCACTTAATTCCTGTGCATTTACATATCTAACAACTAAATTTTAATTTTTTTATATTTATATAAAGAGAATTTTTTATATCATATCAAATATATTATTATTTCATTTTTATATATTATCTATTTATTATCTAAATAGTTTGAGTCAAAACAAGCCAAATATTATCAAATAAAATGTGTTCATGTTTGGCGCATTTAGAATTTGAGCTAAAAAATTTTGTTCATGTTCGGCTCATTTGTTGAACTAATGAATTGATTACGAGTTATTTAATGAGTCAAACACGAACTAGTCATGAATAACGAGTTTTTTTGACAGCCCTAATAATAGTGATGATGAGAAACAAAAGGAACTGTTGTTTAAACTCATGTTGTCGACGAGTGAATGTAGTGATAGAACCGAATAATTTATTGATAAGACAATATAGCAGGTGGTCACAATATCATTATAGCAATAAAGAGGCAAAAAGATGAGATTTTTTGGGTTTTTGGGGAATATATGCCCTTGATGGCAATTATATGTGTAAAGATAGAAAAAAATACAAATTAGTAATTTTAAAAAGAATCTTAATTTGTTTATCTAAAATTAAGTATGATTTTACTTTTCTTTTTAAGTTTTAAAATGAAATTGATAAAAAAATATGCTGACAAAAAAATATTTATATCAATATACAAAAAAATTAACTCTTAATTATTGAAAAAAGAAAATATTTTCTTCATCTTAAATAATAATAATAGAGCATTTTATATTTGGTTTAAAACTCAAAGCTTTAATCACTTTAAAATATAATTTTATATACTCTAATTTAAACTTCAAAAATAATTTGTTTTTTTAGAAAATAAATCTACTATATATATATATATATATATATATATATATATATTTAAATATATTTATAACATAATTTAATAAGCCACTATAAATGTATACATTGTTGTACGTCAATAGTGTGTCAGTGGAGATTCTGATGAGATATGGCGGACCGGAAGTAAATAGTACAATGAAGAAGAGTCCACCAACACAGGATCATGAGACCCACTTTTTTCAGAACAAGTGAAGCTATCTAAGTCAAAGCTAGTAAGCCCAAAGCTGACTGGACCACAAGACAGACCAAACACAACAAGAGGATACATGAATGAGCTATTCAGATAGAAACAAGGCAAAGTAGGCATTTGAGCCAACTAATACGGAAAAATCAATATGAAAGAAAATCCATGTTTTTGATCTTTTCTCTTTTTATTTTTAGATGGAGTCGTCGATTTTTATATCATTGTATACTTCTTTTTTTCCGAATAAATATCTCTACTAGATCATATGAATGATCAGAAAAAGAGAAGAATTGGAAAAGATAAATATACAACAAAAAACGATAAATAAGAGAAAGAACGTTGAGAGCTTATGTGCGATAAACCTCACAAGGATATGTTAAATATGAGTGCCTAAACAAGATTGGATGGAAGCACTTTGGACCGATATCCATAAAAGAATACCTAGGTAGACTACCCACAATCAAAGAATCAGGTGTAAGTGTCTGTTATGGGGTATAGAGTCTCCCAAGAGGACGTATCTCACTTATTTAATTACATCTTAGGGAATACTTAAAAATACTCTTAATAAAAAGGGTTTCTCTTATATTATCGTAGACCTAGAAAAAAATAGCTCATCAAAGAAAGTTTATTCCATGTGGGAATGCCCTGATGCTTCAAAGCTCTCACTAAGTCATCGGGAAAAGAGTGAGTCTCTCGCATCTCATGTGGGTAGCGGCCCATGAGCACATAGGGCCCACGGAATAACCATGATCATCTTGATGGGGATATCTCAATACTTCAAAGCACGTCCACGACATAAGGCAGAGGACAAATCATCGTATCCCAAATGAGCAACAGCTCATTGGCATTGGGCCATCAAAATGATATATATGAAGTCAGAGGAGCGACAAGGGTCAAACGGGCTTAACAACTGGAAGGTTGAGTAATTCTATAGGGTAGAGGTGGCTAGGTCAAGTTACCACGGACCCGTCATCCCGAACTACTAGGACCCTATGCCTACTCAGTCATGAAGGTAATCGACCCAACAGATCAAGAGATCCCCGATCAACAATTCATTAATTGTATCATTCACGGGTATCTCGATAACCCTAAGGTCAAAGAAAGAAAACTATATCATATGAGTATAAGGTGGAACTCCAAGAGGTGAGACATGTACCCGCCTAAATGGCAATGATGCCTCGAAAAAAGAAGAGAAGTGGAGGTTTAGCTACAAAGCTAAAAACACTCCTAACAGAAGGATTTACACCTCGTCTTGGTCGGGGAGAATTCTAAAGTCCTAGGCGTACTAGACAACCTCCTATATAAAAAGGTATGTTGGGTTAGTTGGGTTGGAGAAGTACGGGGGTTTCTTCTCGGGACATTTAAGTGATGCAATTATCTAGAGCGGTCCTTAGATATTATGAAGGCCCTATTATATGGCTTGGGTGATGTCCATACAATGCAGTTTTTTTTAAAACTGGCTCGAAGGTCATGTAGGAAAATAAAAGACATATTTTGAAAATCTTGAATCTTTTAATCCTAAATTTTGATTTATCTTAAATCTTTTATTCATATGTTTTTATATAAAAAAATTATAACTTTAAGGTTTTTAGCCTAGATTATAATTTAAGTGATATCCTAGATGCACTAAAATAAACAATAAAAATGATACAAGCATGCAAGTACTCAATAAAAGAGTAAAGCACTCTAAAAGAACATATAGAAAAGGCCAGGTGCAGCTAAGTTGGCAACATATACATTCGAGAAATATACATATATATAT